AGGTCCCAAGTAGGTGTTCCATACGAGCTAGTGCGAACCCCCCGTGGCCCGTACAACCTAACCCATGAGAGCCACTACCAAGGATCGGTCTCCCCGGCCTAGGAGTGTATATGGATGTATCCTACAGGACTCGATACTATAAGTGGAAGTGAGACATGTTTTTGGGGGTAACTTCAGTAGAGTCAGAAAAACGAGTTATAATTGCAGTACCGGTATCTTGCAATTGCACTTCAGGCACCCTACCTGGCCAGAAAGTTGGGTTGTATAAATTGCCCGAACTGCAAGTCGAAAGAGTATCTTGGCCCATAGTGCAATTGTCACTCTTTTTTGTAACTCCCGCGTAGTTTCCCCTGTTTTTTTTTGTTTTTTTTTTAACTACCTCATGCTTTGTGGGCTGGGCCCAACGGCGGCCGCCGTTGATGAATTTCATCAGCAGCCTATGTTGCGTTTCCATCCTTGGAAACTCGTTGGGCCTCCCCACGGCCGCGAGGTATGGGAAAGGTAGTGATGGTTACTCCTAAGCCTAGTATACAGGGGACCCCTGCAAGCATAGCTACCTCTCACAATGAAGGGGATGACTGTTGTCCCCCGCCTTAATCCGGCTGTCAGGGAGTAGGGTGGGGCCGTTGGTAGGGGAGGCCAGCTAACGCAAAGACCGAGCATTTTGCCAGTAGATGCAGGAGGAAAGATGCATCCATTCATGTGTGTAGCAGTATGTGCCATTCATTCATGTGTGTAGCGGTGTGTGCCATTCATGAATGCTGGTGCGTCAGGTCAGGTAAGCGCGGTGTGCCTTTCATGAATGCTGGGATGGGAATTACTTCTCTTTTTCGTTTCCTTTGAAACAAGTGCCGATGCGTCAGGTCAGGTAAAAGATGCATCAATTCATGTGTGTAGCAGTATGTGCCATTCATTCATGTGTGTAGCGGTGTGTAGCGGTGTGTAGCGGTGTGTGCTACTCATGAATGCTGGGATGGGAGGTAAGCGCGGCGCGACTTTGAAAATGTGTGTAAAGTGCTGATGCGTCAGGTCAGCAGCACTCATGAATGCTGGGATGGGAGGTAAGCGCGACGCGACTTTGAAAGTGCGTAAGAAAAAAAGAAAAAAAAAAAAAGAAAAAAACGGCAGTCTGCGCACTACTGGCCCACCGCCTGCCAAAAAAACTGACACACCTTGCCGTGCCTGAATCGCCTTTTCAAACTGGCCGAATTTCTTGTCTTGGCTTGCGCACCACTGCCCCACCGCCTGCCAAAAACACTGACAGACCTTGCCGTGCCTGAATCGCCTTTTCCAACTGGCCGAATTTCTTGTCTTGGCTCTTCGAGATGTAACCACGGGTTCCGGGGCCCAGGTAATTTGGAGTCCTTATTGCCACAATTTGCCAGTTCATAGGACTGTTCTTATACTGATTACCCTGGGCAACCCTGGAATTCCCATTTCTTCCCCCCCCGTTTTTCTTTTCGATTTTTTTTCTCCCTTTCTTAATTTTGACCATATGTAGATTTATGTGTCATCCTTGCGCAGGGCCATGCTAACATTCTCTGTATCTGTGTATCACACCGAACGTGTTCGGCGCCCCACCGAGCAGCTGAACGTGTTCATGCGCTCGGCCGAGCGCGAACCGAACATGTTCGGCCGAGCACAAATTAGAGGGCTGCCGAGCGCGTCCTTATGTGTGTGTGGTGTGTGGGGTGTATGTGGGGTGTTTGTGGGATGTCTGGGGGTGCGTGTGTATGGTGTGTGCGTGTGTATGGTGTGTGTGTGTGTGTATGTTTAGGAGTCATGAGTGATGCCCCCCAGGGCCCCCCAACCCCTATATATATATAAAATAAATAATAAAAAAAATAAAAATAAAAATGTTCGGGCTCGGTCAATTTTGGGTCACGTTCGGGCTCGGTACCGAGCGTTCGGGTTCGGTCACCGAGCCCGAGCACGATGCTACGCAGCTCTGTATCATTCCTATATTTTAATGGATGCGAAGCACAGGGTGTTTTCCTTCTTATTTTCTGCTGTCCAGCCTATTTTCCAAAAGAAATGAAGCGGCACATGGCAGGGGCCATGCAAGGAAGGGGGGCGGGGGGGTCAGGAGTCAAATGAATGTGATGAGCCGATTCAGATCTGGTGCTCTGATGACATGTGTGACATTTGTTTGCAGGGCCTCAACCAGAAGCACAGGGTGTTTCCCTTCTTATTTTCTGCTGTCCAGCCTCTTTTCCAAAAGAAATGAAAAAGAAATGAAGCGGCACATGGCAGGGGCCATGCAAGGGGTGGGGGGTGGGGGGTGGGGGGTGGGGGCGGGGGGTCAGGAGTCAAATGAATGTGATGAGCCGAGTCAGATCTGGTGTTCTGATGACATGTGTGACATTTGTTTCCAGGGCCTCAACAAATTCGACTACATTGGTCTCGCAATTGCGTTGCTCATTGCCTTGCTTCTGGCATATGTGCCTCCGCTTCAGTACACATTCTTGACAAGGCCTCTTTTCCCGTACCATTGGCTACTGGGACTCCCTCTCGCATTCCTTATCTTCTGGTACGGGGAGCTGAGGAAACTTTGCATCCGAAGATCACAAGGTAAGGAGGGGGGGCTAGCAGAACTAACTCTTCACCCAACAATAGGGCACCGGATCCTCCAAGACAGCCCTGGCTTATTTCTGCAGCCCATTTGCAAGATCACCTGCCTCTTCACCCTTTCCGGGTTCTCTTTTACTGACCCTCCTTTTCTCATTTCATTCTGCAAGACCTACCTCTTCACCCAATAATAGGTGCCGGCTATGATCAATCAGCCCTGGTCTTGCATCCCAGACAAAGGAGAAGCCTCCCTTTTTTATTTTTTTTGTTTGGGAGGATGAAAACTTTGCAGAACCTTTCCAAGTAACCAGTACCTAGAGGACTGAACTTATTCATTCGAGGACTAAAGTGAAGATCATGTAGAGAGACAAATAGCCTTGTTGGAATGAATCTGCTCTGGAGAACTGAGGGGGGGGGGGGAGGACTAAAGTTAAGAAAGGGTATACAGACTGGATTTGGAGTACATCCGAAAAAAATGTAGGGGATTCCTGCCAGCATTGATTACCCTGGGATCCAGCGGATTGACTGAGCAGGACATTGGAAGGAAGGGGGGACCTCTTCACCCTGAACCCGGCGCCAGATACACTGCTACATTCCCTCCCCCTGCCAGCCCTGGTCCCACATCAGTGTTAATGATAAGTTAGATGAAGTGATAAGTACGTCGGACAATCAGAACACTTCAGGGCGCCGCCTCTTCAGTCTACGCCAGCCTGCCAGACCCCTCGTTTTTCCTAGCGGCTACATCCTACTTTTGAATACCCGCCGATACCTTCCGTGTACTGTTTGTTGACCCGCTGCTTCCTTACTCGGCCCCATCAGCCTTTGGGCCTGTAGTCTTGTTCGCTCTGCTCACTCTGCTCCGTACCATTGCAGATCGACCATTGCCAGTGGTGGGGTGGGAAGGGATCAGGGAATTCTGTGGATGGTCGCAACAGGGATCTCCTGGCCCACCGTAGTCCAGTCTCTGAAGCAAATACCGTAGTCTCTTCTGAATTCCTCCTGGTTACACCCCGGGGCAGACCTGCCATCCCATTGGACAGATGAGATCCAGCCCCCATCCTCACTGCCCAACCAGTCCCCAGAGAATTGATGAATTGCTTGTGTTATGTCCTTTGATGAGTGAAACAGCTCAAGTTGGTTTTTAACTTTTTGCTACTGTACCATGAGTTCTTGTTGAATATATTGTTTTATCATGTCTGTTATCTCTTCTCCAGCTATGTGGGCCTCCTCGACATCATGGATACAACGATTTCTACAGAGGGCCCACATGACCGCTCTCCTCCTTAACTTGAACATGCTTTTGAAAGTGTTGTCGGTGGGGAAGAACCATGCCTCGCATGATATGGCCCTCCAATCCCATGGCCATTTGGAACCCTTTCTCAACAGTGTCCAGATCCTATCCCACCATCGCCATGTGAGCACAGCCCCCGGACACTGCATAAATATGTGCTCAAAGGTTTCCGAAATTCTGCGGGATGGGAAGACGGTATGGCACGATTTACACCACGGTAGCGCCCGCCCCTTCTGTTCTAGATATGTACGATCTATCAACCAGTCGTTGGTGGGCAAGCAGCGATGTTCTATCTGCCACTGCAGCGATGTCATCTTCGCAGGCCTAGACCTTTTGGCAGTCAACCATCGGATGGCGGATGACCTCAGTTCCTACATTTAAATGAGACCTCCATCGAGCCTTAATCTTTTCTTTTATGTTCACCTTTGGTTGCAGCAGCCGATAGGTAGTCTTCTCTATACTACTAAAGCAAACAAAGGGTCCGACGACATGCCTGGTCGTGGGCCCAACGAAAATTGTGGAACCTGTGGCGGAATGAGGGCGAGGTGGGAACCGGGCAGTTGGACCAGTGTGGGGGCGAGGCCGAGGCGAAGGGGCAGGGGGGCGAGGTGGAGGCCCACAAAATTCAAAGCGGACCGACGGTTGGGAGGAGGGATGGGCGTAGGGACACATCGAAAAAGTGAAGCGGGCCAAAGCGCGGCAGGCGTGTAGGCAACGGTTGGGAGGGAGGCGAGGCCAATGCGCGCAGCGCTGGAAACCATTAGAAAAAAAATGAAAAAATAAAACAAAAATAGGGTGAAACAGTAAGGCAAAAGTGCATGTGAATAATATTTTGGATTCAGTGAATTTTCTGAATTTTCAGCGTTTTTGGAAATGGTCTTATCAGAGGAAATTCCAATGCTCCAAATGAGACCAAATTTGGTACACAACAAACAACCTTGAAGTAAGGCAAAAACAAGCAAAAAAAAAAAAACAAGAAAACATAAAATTTCACCCCCAAAGCCTAATTTCAGTTTTGGACATGTTACCCAGGAGCTGAAACTGGGGATCCCCGTTAACCACATGTGGGCGGGGGGCACGTCGATGCGCGGAGCGAGACCAACCACCATACAGGAATCCAAGGCCGGCGGGGGCGGGGGGTAGGCCTACGCGCGGAGCGAAGTATCGGGTAGGGAGGCGGGGGACCAACCGCTGTGGGGGAATCCAAGGCCGACGGGGTGCCGTCGTAGAAGGTGGGGGCGAACGAGAGGCGGGTGCGGATGATCTTCGTGGGCGGGACGTGGGACACAATGGATGCGTGTCGATGCGTGGCTATGGCGAACGTACGGAGGAGCGGGGCGAAGAGGTTGGCACACATCGAAAAAGTGAAGCGGCCCAAAGCGCGACACGTGCGTGTGTGCTCTAAGCGCATGATCAGTGCTCTACATCGTGGATCCGTGATTTTGTATTTGGGTGATCTGCGTGCTCTACGTGCATGCTCAGTGCTCTATATCGTGGATCCGTGCTTTTGTATTTTGGGTGCTCTACGTACATGATCAGTGCTCTACATCGTTGATCCGTGCTTTTGTATTTTGGTGCTCTACGTGCCCTACGGGCATGATCAGTGGTCTACATCGCGGATCCGTGCTTTTGTATGTTGGTGCTGTACATGCTCTACGTGCATGATCAGTGGTCAACATCGTGGATCCGTGCTTTTGTATTTTTGTGCTCTACGTGCTCTACATGCATGATCAGTGCTCTACATCGTGGATCCGTGCTTTTGTTTTTTGTTGCTCGATGTGCATGATCACTGCTCTACATCGTGGATCCGTGCTTTTGTATTTTGGTGCTCTACGTGCATGATGAGTGCTCTACATTGTGGATCCGTGCTTTTGTATTTCGGTGCTCTACGTGCTCTATGTGCATGATCACTGCTCTAGAGAGAGAGAGAGAGAGAGAGAGAGAGAGAGAGAGAGAGGCACGAGAGGCACCATCACCATCCCGCCTTGCTCGGCCTGTCCTCCATTCCTGCCTCGCCACTCTCTCCTCCCTCCCTCGGCCTGTCCTCCATTCCTGCCTCGACCCTCTCTCCTCTGGACTCCTCTGGAGGACAGGCCGAGCAAGGCGGGATGGTGATGGTGCCTCTCGTGCCTCTCTCTCTCTCTCTCTCTCTCTCTCTCTC